CAGGAAGTGCATCGCCGACGAGCTCCTCATCTTCGTTCCTCGCAACTTGTATGTGACCGATTTGAGCAGCCACAAGGGACGGAAGACTGATGTATGCTGCTTCGGCATCTTGAAGCCTAGCTCGAACGACGCCTACCTTTCCACCAAGGTATGTTTGAACCTCAAACTCACGCAGTAAGATCAGAGTCAGAACTCCGGGTCGATCGTCTTCAGGCAAGTATTTGGCGACATTCGACAGTCGACTTATCTCGTCCGCAAGCTGCATAAGAGATTCCAAATCAGCGGTTCGAGATACGACGGCCTGCGTCCGGCCAACTGTGACACGGAGGACAGATCCTTGATCACGCTGGCGGAATAGCGTATCCAACATGATATCGTCATCTTCATCATATTTATCTTTCGAAGGCGTGATCAACGCGAGAAGCCGATCCAAGTCACGCTCTTTTGGAGCGAATAGGAATTCAAATCTGATATCATTCAAACTCACAGAAGCGGGCGCCTCGCGGTTAAATTCGAGAGGCCATGGTCCGCTAAGTTTCGCCTTGTCAATCTGGATTCCCAACCCCTCGGATCTACTGACAACCTTTACTGCCGTTGTTCTGAGCTTAATGTAGTGACTTTCCCCGATGATGTTCAGCGCAACGCCACCAATTCGAGCATTCACCTTGACCGGTACTGTTCCAGGTGACTGTGCAGTCGCCGGGGGAGGGCCGCTTTCAAAGTGCACTCCGCGAGGACGCTTCGGTGTGTCCTTGCTCGGTCCCTTGCTCGAAGAACTAGATGAAATGGAGCTTCCAAGTTCCAGAATGGTGCTCAAACCACCTACCCACCCTATGGCCTCTTCCAGGCGCTGGATGTTGAGATTAAGTTGTAAGGGAAGCGTCAAGAGCTCAACCGTTGTCGCTTTCGAAGTCATCCGAACCTTCAATGAGATGTCACCTTGGCTTGATGAAGTGACATCCCTAGTGGATTCGCGCATCTTGAGTTCTTCGCTGAAAGAAATCAGTTCCTCATGTGCGAATCCCACCATGAACTTGGCCACATCCAGGTGTAGCGTAGTAGTATCACTGTTCACAGCGAAATTAGCATTGAAGCCCGAGACCACCGCTTGGAGCAGAATCTCTTCCTGATTCTGGGCAATGAACGCCGAGTCATTGTCAGGAGGATATGCATGCCCTGGGACGTGGTCGACGAATTTGATCGCGAAGCTATCAAGGGAGACTCGAAAGACTTGCGCTACCTGTGATTGCTGTGGCGGATGATGCTCTCGTGTCGTGTCATCAGCCGGACCAGCGAAGGTACTAAGGATTCTTTGTCCGACCTTGACAACAAGCCAACCGATTGCGATGTCAAATTGAATTTCTGCAGAGAATACCTCCAAACCAATGTGATCTCCTAATTTATGTTCATGCTGATTCACATCTTTGGCATCATTGAGAGGAGGAACAGCCGTGTTCGAATCACCACGAGATCGCATCAACGAGTTCAACAAGCTGTCCTCGGCTAGAGAGTCCTGCAGGTTAACTGCCGATTCTTTCAAGTTGTCATTCGGGGCATGTCGATGTGGTCTTGTGGATTCGGCCTCATTATCCCCCTGGTTAGAATCGATAGATGGAATCGAAATCTGGATCCTATCAATACTGAAAAACTTCCTCGCGACGTCAGCTGACTTATTTTCTTCAGTTGAGACCCGAATCGACGGTCTCTCTTTCAGATCAAACTGAGAGTCATTGTCTGGTTGCTGTTGCTCGGTTGACTGTGATTGAGTTAAATCTGGCTCAGACAGAGGTGTGAGTTTCGGTGTTGATACAGAAGTCCCGTCATGGTCGTCGTGCTCATGTCCACCCTCTGAGCTACCCGAAACTGCGTTCTTTGCAACGGATTCCCTCATGACCTGAGATTCAGAGGAATCCCAAGCACCGGGCATGTTCGGCATGAAGCTTCGCGATGTAGAACCATGACTAATGGCACTCATGTACATGCTTTGTGCCTCGTCGTGAGAGAAGAGCCGAGATTCACTGAGATCGCCTTGATGGAAAGACCCAGATGTTGAGCTCGAACTGTCGGTCTCCGAAGGTGGCGCGGATGTAGGTAGTGATGGCTGAAGATGTGGGAACGGCTCAGGAGTTTGATCATGTTCCGTGATGAGGGCAGGTAGCGTGGATCGCGTTTGGGGCGCACTAGGGTCTGGAGAATGCGCAAGCTCATGTACTCCTGGCATTTGTGGCCTCGGGGCAAGAATCATGGCACTTGGTGTGTCGTGAGCTGGTTCTGTTGTCCCAGGAGCGGGTAATTGTAGCGGCCGCGGAACAAGCCCACTGCTTGCAGCCAAATGACTAGTTCCTATTGGCAGGTTTTCCAGTGCATCTAATTCGTCGTCTTGAATCTGAGAGTTGATAACAGAATCAAGGTAGGCAGGGTTGTCCAGCAGCTTGTCATCATCAGCGAAGTCTTGCGATTCCTCCAAGTAACCATAACTCCGGGTCTCTCCCTCTTCCGTGTCGGCATCTGAAAACCTCCCATCATAGGTGTACACGGATCCTTCCAATTCGGGCGCACTTCGGTCAAACCGTTGAGAATCCACAAGCCCAGTCGATGGCTCAAGTATAGTTGATCTGGTCATTTCGAGAGTGGAGCTCCCCGAGGAGGGTCCAGGGGCAGGGGAAGAGACTCGGCTCGGAGGCTGACTTGTCTTCGCCTGGACAAGGGTCGAGGGGGAGGCAGGAGCGGCGAATCGTGCGTAGTTGGCGAAGACAACTGGCTCTGATACCAAGGCAACACTAATGTCAGAGAGCGAGATCAATCGTCTTCCTTTATGCGGTCGATCTCCATCTGTGACAGGAGGCGCGGAGACGGCGTCCACCTTCACTTGACCAACTCTCAGCAATGCAGTAATCAGATCGGGCCTATCCTCTGGCTGCCTCTTAATAGACCCATCTTGCTTCATCTCCACATCGACTCGCACGGATATGTCATCCACCTGAACCTGCAGGCGATCTACGACACCTTTGAGAAATGCGGCAACAAAGCTGGGCAAGGACACAGTCTCGTTGCCGAGACCCAGTTCCTCTTCATCATCGCTGATAGACGCCGATGTGCGATGCAGAACCTGGGACCTAGAGAGGATGGCCGCTTGTAATTCATCCTTTTCCTCCTTGGGTTCAGCTTCGAGGAACGACTGTGCGAGATCGGCAGGGTTGGGTATGAATGCGTCCGGGCTAGAAGTGTGGGGGGAATCAGGGGCCCTGTCCCCTTGCCCAGAAGGACATGCTTCCTGCGAGAGTAGTCTCAGATGTACATTGATGCCGCTGGCTTGACATATTATACCGCTACTGTAGATGTCCGCGGGGACGGTGATCTTCAGGTATCGGACGCGGGCGCTTAGGAGCTTGCTTGAGGCAGGAAGATGTAGTAGGGCAGCTAGTTTCTAAACGAAGTTGGGAAAAAGAAAAGGTTAGTGGAAATGAGCGATGAAGAATGTCAAATGTCGGATTTGAGAATTTGAGACACAGGCGGATCGGAGCAGTTGGACGGCCGTTTGAAAGACCGTTGCACTTACATCGAGCCTCAAGCCGATATCCCGCAGTTCGACGGTACTGCGTTGTCCCCATCGAATCCCTAGACTATCCAAGTCCAGAGCCTCAGTATCGACTAGCTCCAGGCGAGATAAGGCATAACGGAGCAATCGCTTCTGGAAAAAGGAAGGCAAGAAGTAGGCCATTTTCGGGCGGAGGGAGCCGGCGGGGGGCTCATTTGAAGATCACAACAGTCATCTGAGCAAAAACAGAACAAGGCAATAGGAAGGGGAAAGGGAAAGGGGGATGGGTGAAAGATGCCTGGGGCTCAAGAAGAAGCAAGCAGCCGGAAGGCAGCAGGAAGCAGGCAGCAGGGAGCAGGGAGCAGAAAGTAGGAAGCAAAAGGACCACAACAGCAGTAGCAGCAGCAGCAGCAGCACGAGCACGTAAGTTCGGGAGATGATGCGGATTGCTTCGAGGCCGGGAGAATGACGTTCGGGGGGAAATGGGGCGGAAGAGACGCTAAGTCCCGTTGGTAGGTGGAGTGACTGGAGCCAGTCACTTGAGTTGGATGGAGTACGGAGTATGTAGAGGAGAAGGAAAGATAAGGATGGATTGTGGATGATCGACCGCAATCGATAGTCAGGCGGAGAAGCTTGGGCTAGCCAACAAACTACCTAACCCAAACCACATACATCATGACAACTCACACCTACGTTGGTTTATTTTCTTGTTGTTCTTGATGATGATGATGATGATACATTTAAATTAATGAGGTTCTAAGTCCAGAGGGGGAATTTATGACTACCGCAGCCAGTGAACCGCGGCAATAATGAATCTCAAGGCACGACAAAACCCACAATCCAGTCGTTGCCTGAGGTTGGAATTCCCAACTGGCCATCAGAAGCTTTAATGGTTATTATCGAGTCCAGCTAGTAGGTTGACCCATCGCAGAACACAACTTCGAAACCCAGGCACCGGCCAACACAGGCCTCGAGGCTCTAAATTTGTCAGGAAAGTGATGGTCCATGTTTAAAGGATGTACTCCGTACTGTCATAGAGAGTGTAGATAGTGGATCCCTGCATATCGCCACGGCGAGGGGCCAGCATATAGAACATCATCATCATCATCATCATCATCATCATCATCATCATCATCAACTGTTTGGTCTATGTCTACACATCAAAACCACAGTCCTGTTCTGCCGCAACTCCTCCTGCTGAAAAGACACTAGAATATCTAACTGTAGGGTCAGTTTATCGGGCTATAGACCAACCGAGGAGGAATCTAACGGTCCAAGTAGTCCTAGGGACCGTTTCCGCTGTAAGTGCATATTTAGCGATTACAAGCGAATGTCACGTCCAATGGAGGATGACCCTGACTCTCTTGAATAAATCCTGCAACTGACACGCCCAATCGCTGACATACTACTGAATCAAAAGGTCTTCGCGCGGCTTCCAAATCTTCTAATCTAGTCGCCCCTCTTACCATTGTGTCAGTTTCATAGCAAACAGGCACGTACTGTTTACATCTCCAGCTCGCGCGTCGACCTTAAAGATCCAAATACCACTTCTTGAGAACATTGGAAGCAACTGGAATCTAGTAGAACCTCACTGTAGTCGCTACTGGGCATGTAGTCAACCTTAATCCTATACTTATTACGGAATGTGAGGTGGGCTAGATTATTAAAGGATGTAGTCTCTAATGGTCCTGTAGTAGAGTCTTTTTTGTCGTAACTACTATCCGGATAGGCAGCAGAGGCGCTTATGTTGAGGGTTGCATTAATCAGACCCTCCTCAGGAAGTGCCAGCTCTTTCTTCCTGAAACCGCGTAGGTAGACGAAGAAGACACGGTCACTATTGTCCGGCTTTCAACATCAAAAGATCATTAAGAAAAGAAGAAGAGGGGTCTTACGTGATGATAGTGAGTCGGGACAATCTCAAGAAACTCGATCTTGAAGGCCTGGTCGTTTTCAGGCACGGTGTCGTCGTAAATGGCATCATTGTGGCCGAGGACTCGGTTGTCTAGTTGGGCCATTATATGCCGTGGGAGGTCGGTTCTGGTAAGAGCAGCGAGTGCAGCGGTGCAAGTGCAAAGAGACAAGACTTTGTGGGAGAATTGATTTCACCCCGTGGTAGTGTTGAGACAGCTCAGGGTGAGTGGGTGAGCAACGAGGAACCAGGCGGCGAGGGACGAGAGGAGGGATGGCTTCATGTCACTTGACTGCTTAATATTTTATCTGGTAACTTACTTAACTGGTAAGTTAGTAGTTACTAGTCTAGTAGCACTAATTAAAAACAAGTAGCACTTACAACGCTTGAGCTGGGTTTTGTGACACTTGGAATCAGCATCCCTATCGTTGTTGTTTATAATGTTTCAGCTGTGGTGTAAGATCCTAGAGGGCGGAATGGGAAGGTGAAGCTCCCAGCTGAGCACTACCTAGTAGTAATCTTACAAAAAAGCCCGGTTCTGGCGCGCCTCCTATGTTGGTATCAATGATCTTGGCAGGCTCGGCCCGGCGGGGTGGAGCGCTTCTACCAGGGGCATTAGATGAAATGGTTCCAGACCCTAAATCTGTGCAGGGGCATATATCCTTTCATCAACTAGATACGCAAATTGCCATGGACACTTAAATAAGCTAGTTGCAACTTGGAATCCACCCCATTGCCCCTATCATTGACTATGCTAGCCCACCAACTATCAATCCTTCTTCCAGTCTACTGTCAGCAGCACCTAGCAAGTCAACCCCACTCACACCATACTTCATGGCCTCCTTCAGCCGCCTACCAGACGAGCTCCTTCTGCTCGTGGCCCAGCAGTTGACCACGCAACCAGACATCTACCATCTAACCCAAGTCGACGCGCGCTGCTACCGAGCACTACATAGCCATCTCTGCGTCCACAACGTCCAGCACCACGGAAGCACGGCCTTACTCTGGGCCGCGCAGAAGGGAAAACTCCCACTTATAGCCAAGCTACTAGCCGCCGGCGCCAACATCGTCACCTGGTCACGCCAGGAAGAGACCCGGGAAGACAGCGTCGGCGAGAAATGGATCTTCTTCCCGCCCGAGAATCCCTTATTGGAAGCAGCGCAGGGAGGCCACACCGCGGCTCTCCAGCTCATGCTCGCAGAGAACCGGCCGAACCAAGCCGCCAGCCCAGATCAACTGCGGACGCTCCTGCACTGGGCCCTCCGAGCCCACGACGGCCCGCTGGTTGATCTACTGCTGGGCCAGCGTCGTGCCCCGTTCGATTCGCGCACCTACAGGGACTGGCCGTCTCCGACGCCGCCAGACACGTGGCCTTCAGCGCTCAACGTGGCCCTCGAGGCCGAGTATTACACCATTGTGCCCCGCCTGGTGGAGCAGGGCGCAACCCCTGGGCCGTACCGTCGCCGGCCGTGTCCGATTGAGCAGGCGATCTGTGGCGATCAGTTGCACCTCGTAAAGCTTTTCCTGCAGCAGGGCTGGATGCCGCACCGGGACCATGGTATATGCTACATCGCGGACACGAATAACATCGCCATGCTCCAGGTTCTGCTGGATCATGGCCTGGATCTCCGGCTCTATGGTACAGGCGCCCTTTGCGTGGCGATTTGGGCCGGTCACTATGATATCGTGAAGATGCTGCTTGATCATGGTGCTTCTACGAGGCTGGGGTGTATCTGGGAGAGTACGGATCGCAGCCCCCAGATGGATGGGTATACCCCGGTTGGTTTTGCTGTCAAGTGGAGGCGTCTGGAGATCCTGCGCCTGTTGCTTGACAGCGGGGCTCACGCGGACTGGGCAGAGTTCGATATGGCAAGGGAGCAGGGTTTCGAGGAGGCGGCGGACCTGCTTTTAGAGTTCGAGAAATCTGACCCGGAACCTTTGATTACTGCAGGTGCTTTTGAGGAGGCCGGGGACCTGCTATTCGAAACTCCAATCGAGCTGTTGGACCCAGATCTTGTTGTACCCGATCGTGTTGAACTTCTTGTTTTGGATGTGCCGGGTGGCGTGACTGATGCTTCCCAGATCTGGGAGGGGATGTCCAGGTATGTGCTCCGACCTGTGGAGGGGGAAAGGCCTCACCCGGCGGAAGGTACTAGGTAGTGTAGGTTGATGGTCAATCTAGAATCAACCATTTCATATAATGGCATTACGTGATACAATCGAGTAAGGAATATAATCGTGGCCCAATGATACAAGATACATCAATTATCCATCACTGCCTTCCTCCGCAAATGTGACTGTAACCCACTCGCAAAACTGCTCAAACCTTGCCCACCATTCCTGCAAACGGCGGGCCTTGACCTTCTCACCCAGGATACCTTCCCCAATCTCAGAAAGCCATTCACCCGTCGGCTGATCGTCGTAGCAGCTCCACCGAATCGAGTTCTCCACCAGCATTGCCAGTCCTGCAAGATCGGCGTGGTCATCATCACCGAGAAGCACCCTCCAGATTACCTGTGTGAACCCTTCTGCACCGCGCCCGTCGAAACCACCAGTCAGATGACTGCCACACAGAGCGACCGAAACGCCCCGCGACAGCAGGGCCGGAAGAACGTGCTCGCTCCGGCTTGAGGTCGGATTGAACTCGACCAAGATCTTCTTCTCCTTGACCGACTCGGTCAGCAACGGGTGCTTGTAGAGTGTCGATCCGTCGCAGATCCTCCGCGTGCCCAGCAGAATCGCATCGTACAAGTCCTGGTCGGCACGCGCCCCGTCACGCGCCGACTCGCCAGCGTGGAAGAAGAAAGGGATCTCCAGTCCTGCGTCCATGCACTCTTTGCGGAACCAGAACAGCAGAGGCACGAGGTCCGACAGCGGCCTCGCATCACTTCCTGTCCCCGAGATATCGAACCCACAGATAACCTCCGGGTAGTCATACTTTGCGAAGAGACAGGTTTGCATGTTCTCCACGATCTCCCTGTTCGACAATGAACGACTGGTAGTCCATATGATACGCGCTCCGTAGAAGTCGCGCCCTTCGTCCGTGCTCTGGAAACGCCGTAATTCTTGGTGAAACACATGGCACCATTCGCTTTGATCTGCGTCGGGCGCGGCGGTTCCTTCTCGTCGATAGGCTTGAGCGAAAGTATGCCTGAATTCGGCATAGTCGACCCCGTCCGCTGCCAGATGGGCGAAGACGTCTCTCAGGCAGGAACGCAGAATGGGCTCATAACTTAGCAGCGAGTCAATGATCGGTGCGCCACGGCAAGCGTCGCTCGACTGCTCGTCTCCAAGGGTGCATCGCCCCTTTAGCCATTCGCGGAACCCGGTCTCTCCGCCATCCGGGAAGGAAGAGACTGCCTGCTGAACAGGAATAAGTTCCGAAGCAACATAGGCAGCCGACCATATGGAGACAATGTGCTTCACGCTTCGTGTGGAAGATGAAGCATACTGAAAGGTGACGGGGGTTTTGAGTCGCGCTTCTTGAGACGATAAAGGCTGAGGGCTAGAAATGTGCAGCCCCGCTGTGGTAAGAGCGATGCCGATCAACTTATCTACGTTGATGAGGCCATGAATGGAGGCGTTCAGCAGAGACCCCTTTGGCATTCTCTGCACGACCTTCCAAAGGTCGGTTTTTCGAACCTGTCCCCAGTCCAGAGCCGGTGGTCCACAGGAAGGCGTAGAGGCTCGAGTCAACTCCCGGTCGCGGATTTGGGACACAATCTTGCAAGCTCTGGCGGCGACTGGGGTTAGAGCTTTGCGGAGGTTGAAGTCTGAAACACACTCGTCAGTCGAGATCGATTTGGCCAGTGGTCCAAGTACTTGAGACTAACCATGTCGCTGTTTCTGCTCTTGCAGAATAAGCGAGTCCCGTCCTTTCAAGTACTGTTGGATAAAGGGATCTTCAACCTGAGGGATCCCTTCCTCCAGTTCCCACTCCTTGTCATCGGCGGCCATTGTTGATCAAATCGAGGACATCAAATGGGAGCTTCTCGCACATCTGCTGAGCTCTTGAGTGCCTTAACTAAGGTTGGAAAGGATTCAGGAACTAGGCCGACTACTGGAACTGTTCGCAGCCAACGGAACCCATGAGGTCATAATCTCGATTGCCCCGCTCTCATGAGCGAGTCGGAGTTTAACCGTGATTGAGCTAGTAGTACTAGAGGTCACCATTCCAATCTGTTCCAGTTGCACAAGTTAAGGTTACCTTGGTTTAGACGGCATTGGCTGAGCGTTGCCTTACAGCACCATCCATCTTCTACTACAAGTTCCCGCGGAATGTTCAATGCTCGGCACTTTAGGCCCCGGGGCGCCTCAGGGCTGCCGCATACGGCAAGTTACCGGTTCCGGAAGACATCCACTAGAAATAGTAACAAAGTAAGATCACCTTATTTACTGGTAAGCTTGATATCGACGGTATGAGACGATCGAAAGCTCAAGAGACTACCTGATATCCCAAGATAACAAACCTGAACATAGGGCACCTCTGTATGTGTAAGAGGGTGCCCCATCCAAAGCATCTAGCCAGTAAAGCAAAGCAGACAACATTCGCCGGGCGAGAGTGATATATATGCTCTTTTTCTCCTAGAGAAATGTACTAGCACATGTCCTACCTTAGAGAGGATGAATTGACCACCGTAGTAGTCTTCTAACGCGAGGCTCTCCAAAGAATGGTATCACCCCTGCAATACCGTGCAAGCCCGAATCTCGACACGGGATTCATCTCCCATGTTCGAAGCTGATAGCCAGGTACAGTACATTGCAGATCGGGGCGTGCTGTCGGCAGCCGGCGCCCAGCTGGCCCGGGAATGTCCATCGCGTGGCATTTAGGGTGATGCTAACGTGGGCGATCACTGCCTTCGGTAGTGCAGCAATTGCAGGGATGTATGTTGATCACTTGTTGGAGTAATTGATTTGCCAGGACGAGGTAGAGAGTATTTTCTGGGAACTTCAGTTTCCTCTAGCACCGGGGCTTGATTTGGTCTGATTTGAGTAGCTAAGATTTGAATTTGGCCTATCTATATTAGACTGGAGAGCTGGGTAGGGGAGTAACACTCTGGATGGCTGCTTGGATGTTGTTCGCTACTGTGTCAACTGCTAAGTTATTACTAGATCAAGAAAGGAACCATCTTCATCATGTCTTGCCGCTTTTTGATATTGCAGTTCTTGAGATTAAAGATCCCTTCTTGTGAGTTGGAGCTCAGAGCTGCCTTGAGTGGGTAGCTTGTAGCTTTGTTCCAAGTATATCAAAAATGAATGAAATCCTTGCCTGACTACCTACTTCATGGCCGCTCATTTACACACATGCCTCGCAGCCAATTTAAAAATGACAAACAAGCTGAAGAATGGGCCCGAAGATCCCAAGCAGGACTAAAAAAGAAAGTAGGGTATTTGATTCCCGGGACCTATAGCCTTCCAATCCCCACACCGCTGGTCCATCCTCACCGAAGCAAAATAGCAAGTTCGCGCCCCTCCCAAACGCATAAACTCCAGAAAACCCCCAGATGACAAGAAACAGGTGGACCCCGGGACCTGCTATGAAAGAATCCCAGGAGAGACACTGTGCAGTGATCGCATCCTAAACGAAAGTACCCCAAAGACAACCCCAGTTATGCAATGCAACCTGATTTTCCTCTTCTGTTTGCGGAATCGACCGCAACATCAAAACACATATTCTCCTGGACTCTTTACTCGATATCTTCAATGTCGCGATGACGGGCAAGAACGTGTCGTTTGTATTCTTCTTGGTTGGTATCCCAGAGCTCGGCGGCCTGGGCGTTGAGGGGGCTCGCGCTGTGAGTGTATTAGCATCGTGAAGGTCCTCGACCGGAACATCGGATGGATGGCATCATACTTGTTGGGCTCCCCGAGCAGACTCTGCAAGCTGAGCAGTACGCTCTGGACGTTGTACACAGCGCTCCATTTGTCTTTCAAAATATCAAGACAGATGCGGCCGGAGAAGTCGACGTTGGGGTGGTAGATGGGGGTCTTGAAGAGAACGGTAGGAGGAGCATAGGGGTAGTTGCTGGGGAAAGCGAACGAGAGTCGGAAGGTCAGTCCTTCGTAGGGGGTTTCGGTTGGACCACTGATGGTGGCGGTCCAGGAGAGCAGGTTGCCGTCGGCGTCTGGGAAAGCGGAGATGCCCGGAGAGGGGGAGAGCATGAGTTGCATCAGCTCAGCTTGAAGACTAGAAATCAGTCGGACGGTCAGTATCTGGAGCGACTTCGGGGATGATCGACCAATGCGTCTCAGGATGCGGTGACGGACCGTTTGGTGACGCTCTGAGTGTCACTCCTTTGTGCTGAGGAGCCGAGCTTGGAGGTCTCGTGAGCGTCAGGAGCGGAGTTCTGAGTGTCTTCCATGGTGTAGTCCATTGTGAAGGAGAAAGTCGAAGGGAAGGTGATGGGAAGGAGAGTTGAAAAGATGGGTAAGACTAGTGATGCAGAGAGAAGTTCCGGAAAAATGCCAGCTTTCGAGACTTAGCAGTAGCGAGGAACAAGAGATAATGAGGTAGGTTGCTGGTGGTGGAATGAGAGCGTAACCGAAAGCAGCGCGACAGTTGGCCGGAGGGGAAGCGGATTGACCCACCGCAAGAACCCCAGAATGATCGGAATCAGAACCTTGGACGAACGGAGAGCTGCAGCAAAAGTATGTATGTATGTCTGGCTTAGAGCAGTTTTGTAGATCCTTTCTTTGAAAATGGGAAACAGGGGAAGTAGTCTGGATTCTTAGGGAAAAGAGAACTTAAGTGGGGGAAAGACAACTGTGATCGAGTGTTGGATGATTGATTGGGGTTAATTTTCTTCCTTTAGTTTTTTTGTTTACGCCCTCATCCGCCGGGCAACGCAGCGCAACCGTTCAATCGCTGGCCATTGATGATCCACCACCGCATCTGATCTCTAGAGCCTCCATCTGACTCTCTCAGTTGACAGACCGGTGGTCATGTTCGTCGTATACACGACGCTGTTTCTATCAGTGCCAGTCATCTTGAATCGATGACGGAATTACAGTCAGCACACGAAGAAAGAAAGCCCATGCCTGTCTGGACATACAACAACCATACAACAAGACTAAGGTAGACACTACAGCCTGTGTTATCTGTCTTATTTTGGCTGCCGGACCAAGCCAGAGCTCGGCAAAATACGGAGTACGTAACAGCTGCTCCCTGGGCGGTCAGCCAGTGGCTCCGCGCTAATCGATGCATATGATCAATCAACACGGTTAATTCTCCATCCTTGTCACCTCTTCAGTTCATGCTAAGGCTTTAAACATGTGCGCAGCTTTAGAATCTCTTCAGAGAACAGAGAAACGTTATCATGGGCCCGTTCACTAGAACTGGCGGCAGGGACTAGTTAACAACTCCCTAATAATGATGTCGAGTTTCAGCACATTACAGCGGCGCAAGACAATTGAGGACCGTGCGCGGAGCGTTGCGCCGTGGCTTGCTGAGAAGGCCCTTGAGGGGCTCTATGCAAGTCGGACGCTGTGTTTATGCTGTCACGGCACCAGTAGGACTACATCCACTAGTCTTAAAATATGGTACTCGTACATTTGCACCTGTTGGTTGTTGATTCATCAAAGCCATGATGAAACCTCCAATGGTGTCACAGTTACCATGAGCATACAGCAACCCTGGAAGTAGTCGATGCTAGCTCCGTAGGCAAAGAATATTCGATGAAGGGACTACCTTTTGGACTCGTGCCTCAATAATTTTCTGGCGGTGAGCTACCCTTGTTCTCCGGGAAGAGATGTGAGTGAGTGTATAAATAAGGTCAAATAAGGTCCTGAAACCACCAGCTATACTTATGCAGGTAGTGCCCCCGACTAGTACAAAGATTGCCGTGGCCACCCGAGGGTAAAAAGAAAACCATTTTCTTCCCCCTCCAAACATCCAAGAGACTCGTACTTGTCAAAGAAACTCTTACAATCGCACAAGTCGGAATGGAAGCCTGCGACCGGCAGCCTGTCAACAGACTTCCCAATGAGGATAAAGTGGCTTTCGCGTGCCGGAGCTGCGCGCGTTTCTCTCCAGCTTCGCTCTCCCATCGCTCACCCTTGCGTGGATTCTCACCACCGCATGATGCTGGCTAGAAGTAGCTGCTGAAAACTCGGACAATTTTCTCGATTTGCACCTCCTTCCATCTGACCTGTCATATACTATCGGATCACCCGTGGAAACCCGGGTTTGCTCGCCAGCACCACGATGCATCACTCGCAACTAGCCCCGCTGCCGAATGACTTACCCTTCCGAATAGTCTCCAAGACGATCGGCCAGGGTGCCTATGCCTGGTCTGCTTGAACCTAAGCCCTCTTTCTCAATCGTTCTTGCAAATCAAATCATCTTGCTAACAATTGTCTTTTAACTTCCTTAGCATCAAAAAAGCCGTCCCGTCCCACACAGATAGTCCGGTCTTCGCAGTCAAGTTCATTCACAAGGAATATGCCGCTCGCCATGGCAAAGTCAGCGCGCGACAATTGCAGATGGAGGCGACGGTACACAAGCACATTGGCGACCATAATAACATAATCTCTTTCTTCCAGACCGGCGAGGACGATGTGTGGCGCTGGGTTGCAATGGAGCTGGCCGAGGGTGGCGATCTTTTCGACAAGATCGAGGCCGACGAGGGCGTGGGCGAGGACATCGCGCACGTCTACTTCTCCCAGCTCATAAGCGCGGTAGGCTACATGCACTCCAAGGGGGTGGGACACAGAGATATCAAGCCGGAGAACATGCTGCTGGCCGCGGATGGCAATCTCAAAATCGCCGACTTCGGCTTGGCCACGCTGTTCGAGTACAAAGGCGTGACCAAACTCTCCACCACCTTCTGCGGTAGCCCGCCGTATATTGCACCAGAGGTGATTTCGTGCAGCAGCAGGAGTCAAATTAAAGGGAGGGGTTACCGACCCGACCTGGTGGATATTTGGTCGTGCGGCATCGTCTTGTTCGTCCTCTTGGCTGGCAACACCCCGTGGGACAGCCCGACGGAAACGAGCTACGAGTACCAGGAATACCTTGCCACTAATGGGCGTACGACCGACGAGCTGTGGCAGCAGTTGCCGCCCGCTACGCTTTCACTCCTGCGCGGCATGTTGAACGTGGATCCAGCCAACCGATTCTCTCTCGAGGACGTCCGCAGACACCCCTGGTACACCCGGCCGAACAAATACCTATCGCGCAACGGCGCGCTCAGAGACACCATCAACATGGCCACGACGATGTTCGAGTCTCTGCATATCGATTTTACACAAGACCCCTTCGCGCGGCCGCACGGCAGCGGCGGGAGCCAGGGCATTGAAGGAACCACCGACCTTATGGACATGGGAGATGAATTCGACGACGATGCCGATCAAAGGATCTCATCCACGCAGCCGGAAATGCCGCGCGGGGGTATGCTAGTGGATTGGGACACGCCGCAGGTGGCGGACGCATTCTCTTCCACCCAGCCCATGGGCAGACCGTCGTTGTTGTTCGGGAAGAACGACACCAAGCCCCTCGACCACCTGGAGGACGAACCGTCCATGTCGCAATTCTCCCCGCACCCCTCCGTGCCCTTAAGTCGCACCCAGAAGGCCATCCGCTTCCACGACATCGTCCCCGCCCGTGCCATGACGCGGTTCTTCTCAACGTGGGAGCTCAAAATCCTAGTGCCCCTGATCTGCGAGGCGCTGCATCGTCTGGGTGTCCCCGTGCCCGCCGTGCCCGCCGTATCCGCCGGGGATACCTCGGCCACGCTGCGGATCATCACCCGCGACGGGCGCATGTGTACGCTGCAGGGCAAGGTTCTAATCGACTGTGTGTCGGAGGGTCTCTTCGAGATCGAATTCATGAAAGTCAAGGGCGACCCGCTGGAATGGCGGCGCTTCTTCAAAAAAGTCGCGGTGCTCTGCAAGGACGCCGTGTACAAGCCAGATAGCTGATCTGCCTACTCCTTAGCAGGTTTTCTTCGACGCTGAAGCTTTTTCTCTAGGCTTGAATTTCCTAATTGTTTGTTTGTCTGTCGAGTTGCGTCTGGCTTATGGCCCTATGGTTTAATGTACGAATTAATGCAATAATGATGGGATTGGCGTTGTGGAATTTGGATGGATTTGGCAACCAAAAAACATAATGGAAAACAATCTAGCATCACACGCTTGCACCTTTTTTCTTTCTTCCCCTTTGTGTTTGCTAGCGATGTCTCGATTATAAAAATATGGAAATTATTCAGTTTTAGGGACAGGCGGTCACGGTTGGCTCTCGTGATGTTTCAATTCTTACCCACGCCCCCCCTTTACTTGGGGGGAGGGGTTGGGGGGGGCAAGACGGACGCCTTGTACATGACTGCAGTACTGCAGCATTCTAACCACCTTAGTCATTCATGAAATTCGAGGCAAATGCAGGGTTTGTACCATAAGACTGTATAAGTCGCAACATTGGCAGCAAGAGAGACAACTAGCCAAAGCAGAGTGGTCTATCATGCACTGTAGGTAAGCAGGTAGCAGAGTACATACAAAACTCAAAGTTCCAGTGACAGACACACACACACGGATGAGGAAAACTCAGAAGACCCGCGAAGCTCATTTGCTGAAGCCACGAGAGGTAGAGAGAAATTTGGTTGGTATCAAAAACAAATGTTAGCTGGGTGATATATCGTGCTTGTGGAAATGATTCATCAATCTAATCTAAAGGCCAAGTCCTCCCATGCGTCGCACCTCATCAGCCTGTCTCTCCAGCGCTCTGCGCATTGTATACGCGTATTCGTTTTCTCGACGGCGAAGTTCTCGTCGCTTGGCTCGGAGCTCCTCACGCGCAGCATCGTCCAGGTCCATGTCCATCAACATGTCGTCGTCGTCGTCGTCCTCCTCGTCAACAAAATTCGTGCTGCTGGAGGTAAAACGAACTCGGCCGATGTGTTCGCCCGTCCAGACGAGTAGCTCATCGCCTGTCAGGCTGCCGCCGGTGGGGAGGATCTTGCGGGCGACTTCGCCTTCGCTGTGAGATCGGGACAAGCCGCCCCAGAGACCGGTGGCGAGGTCGGCGTCGCCGTCTGCTGCGCGAGGCTGGTGTGCAGTCGCGCTGGAGTGGTGGCGGCGATGAGTGGGCCCTACCCGAGTATTATGGTGGTGGTGACCATGATGATGGTGGTGGTGGTGTGGAGGTTGGTAGCTGTTGATGTTGAGGCGACGGACTTCGGACCGGCCGTCCCGCTCCACCCATTTGATATTTCCATCTCCATCCGAATAGGCGATGCGGGTACCGTGGGATTCGACGGATAGCACCTTGGATCTGGCGACACTTTGTCGGTTGTGATACATCGTTGACACCACGGACGACGACCCGGACGAGTTGATCATGTCGCTGTCATTGGATGGGGCGAGATTATACAATTCAAGTGACCCCCTACCTTTGTAGTCGCCACAGGCTACTAGCTTGTGTGAGGAGGGGAAGCTTGAGTCGGAGATGGGAAATCGTGGCCCGGGAACGGCTGCCAGACCACAAAGCTGACCACCGGAGTGGATTGTGTTTTGCAGCCGCGGGAAGTAGCGGCGGTCGTACTGAAGAATGCTGGGGAAGCGGCCGGCGAGGAAGATCGAGTGAACATGCGGCGCTGGGGGATGCAGAAGTGAGAGGGGCCCTGGTTGGAACAGTGGTGCATAATCGTCGGTGTTCTGTGAAGGGCCCGGGCTTCTGATACGGTGTGGAGGTCGGCCGTCAGGTTGCAGTTGCAGAAGCGGCGAGTCGGGCGGAGCGTACAGCTGTGACTTTGGAACCAACGAAACAGTTGGCTCTTCACATCGTAGATTGATGGCTTCTTCTTCCTCGCTTGCAGACAGTCGACCGTCGTAGATGTGTAGACTCAGCGTCGTAGCGAGTGTCAACGGCACCGAGTAGTCCGTTTCCTGAGACAAGGCGAACACGGACCAAGGATAGCGTTGCTGAGAGACCACCCGCAAGGTCTCCAGATCGACCTCGTTCAGGACATTTCCCACGGCCAGATAAGCCCTTCGGCGGATGGAGTCCACGCTCACACATTCCCCCAGATTCACATATTCCAGAGACTGTTTTGCCGCGGCGTGATCCCTCCTGCCAGAGAGGTTGGTCATCAAGATGCCCGGGGCGCTGACGCCAATCATCTTACCCTTTGTCTCTTGCGACCCGATCGAGTGGGAGTGGTTGAGGTCCCAAATGCAAACACTTCCATCGTCCAGAGGAGCGATGACTTTGTTTTCCCTGGCTGAGCTCCAGTCCCGCAGCAAGCCCATGCCCTTCGCTTCACGATACACCCTTCTTTTCTGACCTTCCACCCTGGTGAACGGGCGCTGCATCCAGCTGAGCGAGATAGGTCCATTCCGTGCGATATACTCCGAGTACCAGTTCACATCTTCACCCTCATAAGACGGGTCCCACTCCGTGGCCGCCCGCGATCGGAGACCAAATGACGGCGCTCGATCGGATGGTTTAGCACCAGCCCCGTCATTCCCCGCATGGGGTTGAATGAGGGATCGAAGTGTAGTCTGCCCTAGCGCACTCAGCGGTGCGGTGGAGTTGGTGACAAGACTCGCGGAACCGGTGCCATTAGCGGAACGAGAGGCTCGCGTGGCGCTCCATGACTCTTCGTAGCAGTGGAGTCTCCAGAGATTATTGTCACGGGCGACAAGAAACAAGCGTTTTGAAACAGATTGGAGTTGTACCCGCTCATGTGGAGTGAGGTCTGAAGGGCATCGTTAGCTTGTTTCGCTTATGTTGTTATTGGGAGCTTGCGACTTTAGACTAGCAGCGCAGCACTCGGACGGAGGGGCTGTGATGTTTGGGTGTTTGGGTGTTGAGGTGTGGGGTTTATTAGAAAGGGAGGAGGGGGGATCTGCATACAATCAATAATCTCACAGAGGATCTCTACGGGGAGTTTCTCCATGAGTGAGGCAGAGGGAGAACCAACAACACCATTGAGGGCGGAAGGGGATTCATCTGGCTTGTGCGATGGGGTGTAAGCAAAGGCCATAAGTATTATGATTTGCGTTCTTGGGGGTTGGGGGGGCTCCATTTATTGCTCTCCACAGTCCGGATTCTAGACCCGCGTCACGTGCAAGGCCCATGCAGGAGGCTATAAAGTAGGTATACATGCACCTGGTTACATACAGACTATCATAACATCTAACTATATCGTAGAACGCTGCTGTAATTAGTGGTACGAAGGTGCCTGCAATGCGAGAGGTATCAAGGAGTTACAATAGCTGATGGACGTCAACTACCTGTAGAGAGGTTATTATTAAAACGTGCACGCATTTCAGCAACAGAAAGGACCCAACACTTCAAGGTTGCTGGTACCGTACTTGTTGATCAATCAAGAGACCAATTGTTTATGACCCCTTCGGTTCCCAGAGATGTTCATGGCCACTTGCCAGAGAATAATTTCCCTGCCTGAGAAAGGCGGCCGCTTCCGGGCCCGGCCCATTGAAGACAGCTGAGCCTGCAGGCCTCGGCGAACCACCCGCTCATGACCGACATCTGACAAACCATTAGTGATCCGCTCCCTATTCCTCAGGGCTCAGACTTTCCTTAGCCTTCTTTGTACATCTTCCCTGACTAAAAACTATCCCTGTAACTACGATTTCACTTTAAGTCCTTGCGGAGTATATCATATCCTTGAGCCTCATTGTCCTAACGCAGGAAAGCAATATCCAAAGCGCGATCACATCTCGATTGATCCTCTTCGACCCTCCCTCCATTTGCCATCTCCGAACCCGAGCTTCCGAAAGTCCGCCCCGCGCCTCATCTCCGGCCGAGATAGAGTCATCCGCCTTGTGATCGGGTGTTCACTCCGCAATTGCAACCTATAATTACTCAATTGGACCGGACTCCATATTTTCACGCTGTACCACACAAAAGAGCGTTCTTCGTCCCATTTGTGAACACATCAGAAGAAGCCTTTTCAATACGAGCTTCGCTTCGCCCGCTCCTCGCCTCGCCATAATTGCCCCGCCTCCAATTCCGCATAGAGGGGCAGATCCAACCACCTCACACCTTAAAAGTCTACACAACACATTGACCATGGCTGCACCGTTGGATTCCAGTCTGAAGTTCGATTCCATCGAAGACACCCTTGCCGCTTTCAGTGAGTCTTTTCGCTCCCCCTCTCAAAACTCCTCAACACTGCGCGGGCCTCCAGGCGTCTGCTGGCATGGTGCAGAATCGCATCGCGAACTAACCACTCAATTGCGCTTCAGAGAATGGCGAGTTCATCATCGTCCTCGACTCCCAAGACCGCGAAAATGAAGGCGACTTGATCATCGCCGCCGAGTCTATCACCGACGCCCAGATGGCCTTCCTGGTCCGGTACACGAGGTGAGAAAATACACAACCTCTCCTTATCAGGCTCCTCGGACGCAGGCACCAGACCCTTCAAGCTGCATTCGAGAAACCCCGCATCCTCAAGAACCCCATACTGACTTGGCATCTTTCCGATACCAGCGGTCTCATCTGCGCCCCCGTTACCCCTGAAATCGCCCAACGCCTGGCCCTCCCACAGATGGTGCTCGAAAACGCGGACCCCAAGGGCACCGCCTACACGGTCTCCATTGACTCGAGCGACCCGTCCGTCACCACTGGTATCTCCGCACAAGACCGCGCTCTGGCCTGCCGCACCCTCGCCTCCCCGACCGCCCGCGTCGACGATTTCCGACGACCGGGCCACATAATCCCCCTACAGGCCCGCAGCGGCGGTGTCCGCGAGCGGAGAGGCCACACGGAAGCGGCGGTGGAGTTCTGTCGGTTGACGGGCAAGGTCCCCGCGGGTGTGATCGCGGAGCTCGTCGAGGACGGCGAGCTGGTTGACGGGGTGCCGGAGATCCGGGGCAACAATGGCATGATGAGACGCGATGGCTGTCTGCGGTTCGGCAAGAAGTGGGGGATCAAGGTCTGCACGATCGAGGATCTGGTCGAGTATGTGGAGAAGACGGAAGGTGGTCTCACGAACGGGGGCCAATGAGCATGGAAGAGAGCAGAAACAGAAAGGAAAGGGTCGAGAGAGGGTATACTTGTGGTTTCTTTCCCTTTGACGGTTGTATAAATTTCTTCTGAGTGATTTCCCCTCCTGTTCGGCTGGACATCAGGACCAGGCTCTTTGGGTTTGTTGTTTACTGCATTATGCGCGGCTTGGTTGCATGTTTGTGTATGGGTGACTCGAGTGAGGAAAAGAGAAAATAGATTCTATCTTTATGGCTGGTTTACACGTTTTCATGAGTCTTGGGAGTCGTTGTTAGATAAAAGAGGACAATCGACACGAGCATCAAGTCCATCATTCATGCAATTGTTTGAATTAGTTGGGTATCGATTTTGCCTTTATAGTATACAGCGAGGGCGATGAAGATCGCCAGAAAACAAACATGACCAAGTCAGATAAGATCTGGTCAGAAGTAGCAGAGAAATCAGAAGTATATCCTTTCCTGCGTCTAATGTTTACCCACCAAACGCCAGTATAATGCGAAGTCCGAGTAGAAAAAGGAAAATGAAGAGAACACCCCGGTATACCTTT